TAAACAGCGTGAACACTATGATCGTATTCACGATGACCAAAGCTCGGTTATAAACCCCGTTTAACGGAACTTAACAGTTTGGCTATTTTATCATTTAATGCACGCTGCATGCTGTGGTGGTCCTTTCTGTAGCATTGCCTTTATGAAGACCCCGCATCCTATATGCAGTGTTAGGTATAGTACCTGCAAAGTACGATATATGGAGCTAGGTTTCTTTCTGTTTCTCTTCATGATGATGAATGAAAATTTTTATTGACATACATGCAATCGACGGGAACTTCTTAGAGCATGAATATATGCACGCTACTAGACTTTTGCCCAGCGCTCCACAGTCGAACCTCATAAGCCAGCGTCTTTTCAGTTAACTCTCCCTCTCGTATGGCAATGTCACAACAAAGCAATAGCACTCTGAGTCGACGGAGCTCTTCTAAAGCAGTTCTTTCTTGGGGAAGAAAAATTCTGGTGGAACCGTTGAGCGCTGTGATTCTCTGGATATCGAAAGAACCCCCATGAAAATTTCGCGACGTACCATTGAAACAGAAGGCAGCAACTTTTGGACAATAAGGACAGAAGGATCCAACTACATCTGTTACGTGATACCTGAGAATGGAAAGCAAATAATTTCCTTCGTGGTCTTTGATGGCCAAGGTTGGAGAAGCCTAGAGTAAGGAGCATTCCTTAAATTCATGAAATCATCCATTCTTCGCCTTGAAGGAATAACGCCAGTTAGCATGTCATTGTCACTGTAGTTCCTATTAGCTCCTAAGAAAAGGATGCAGCCATATCCTTGCCCAATTTCATGATCATCGTCTCTGATGACTTCTTAAATACAGCTTTCAGAATGACCCAGCAACGCTGCATGGAAATAATCATGGGGCTGAAGCGTTAATTGATCCTGCAAGCAAACAACGATCATCTGTGCAGTGCAAGCCGGAGATGCTACTTATGTGGAATCACGGTAAAAGCTTAGTTTTAAGACCAAACTTTGCTAGCTGACAACGCTGGATTGCACTCTTTTGGGCAGGGGGTCCAAGCCTTTTTTGATCTCGACCTTACAAACAAGCTTTCCTTAACCAGGCGACCCACTAAAGCGGTCACGTAATTTCAATTGCCTATTATTTTGATATATACATAGAGGTTATTAAATTAATGTGACTAATTTACATAACCAAAACAGAATACTTGTCAGTAAGTTTTTATATCATACTATATGCAGAGTACGCTTTTCATGAAAGTTATTCATTCTGTGATCTTCCTGCGACAATCATTTGGGTCGCGACTCGGAGTTTGAAAATCACTACTTTAAGGAGGGGGGCAGGAATTTGAACAGTGAACCTTGTGGATACCAGAAGAGTGCAATACTCTTATATGAAATGGCCGTGGCAGCGCCGCAATATCAGATGAACAGAATTCGTCCGTAACGTCAAAGTGAGAACGCCAAATAGGGTACGTTGAATCTAATCTTGTTATATGAATGGCAGTTTTCCCATAAGATCGAGCGTCAGAGTACACAGTACTACAACCATTTGCGATGCAAAGTTCGAGCGTAGATCGTCACTTACATAGAAACGACTCTACGGTGGTCTGAGTATGGAAACAGCCAAATAGCCGCACTGCCCTCACAGACCGTCCCATTATCTACTATCCTCATTGACGACCTTACTGCAGTAAAACCTTGCACGTTGCACTCTTGACAAGACATGGGAAATTTTGTCAACTTTATTCGTATCTCCATGTTTCCATATCTAGGCATGTGCTGTTTTCGTAATCATGCAGTTGCTTGCATATTTATATTTCTGTTTTCTGCGAATTTTATCCATCTTGATTCAGTGAACTTATATGGTACATATACGGTGAAACCTTGCCTGCTTAAATTGCATATTGTGAATATGGACGAATGAAAGTAATACAATATGACCGTTAAACATGACTAATTTGAGTCATACGGTTGCCAAAGCATTGCTGCTGAGAGTACTGGTTTAGAAATCTGGACTTATAGATATAAAATTGCTGGCCACTTCACCGAAATCATACGACTGAAAGTCGTTGATAGTTATTGTTCGCCACCTCCAGTCTAAGAGGGATAGGAAGTGACGCAGGAGCAGGCCCAGGTAGGTTGAGACGGTTTTGTTCGCCACTAGCCAATCATATTTGTTTGTGATCAAATCCTCATTCAACGCTCCAGGTGTATCGCCTGGGCCAGACGAAGGTTGAAAAGACATCGGCATCGACGGAAGTGCAAAGACAAAGATAAAGTTTACGAGGGTTGGCACCTCGGGTAAACAGCCACACAACCACTCTCAACAAAAGAAACGCTCCAAAAATATGGGAGGATCGCAGTTAAAGATCGTAGCGTGATCACGAGCTAAAACACGATCGGTGAAGGAATGGAAAGTAGTACAGTACTGAGAGGTATGTAAACGGCATGGTAATAAAAATACGGCCGCAAGAGACCACTGTTCGATGGTGATGATAAACGACAGAAGCGACGGCTTTTGAAGCGAGCTCCTCTCTAACGAGCAATGCATTGCTGTAGCCAGCGAAATTGGTCGAAATGAATCCGGTCACTGCATTTAACAAACGTCATTGAGCTTTGGCAAGCTTAAATACCACCGAGAGAAATCAAAAATTCAAAAATCAAGGGAGAAGTGCCGTAATGCCGAGAAAACCGGTTCGATTGAATAATGCATTTATGAGCGTAGTCCCAGCGGACGACGCCGTATTTTTATCATTTACCAAAAACGCGTAAGAAGTATAACCTCCTGAAACAGGCGAGAGGTAATTAGTGGGAAATAATGCGTTGGTTCTGGCAATAAAATGACGCCGGACGCATTTGTGCAATGGAAACGTCTGAACGCCATGCAGCGGTGACCTGTTTCAGTGCCCCCTAGAAATCAACGAGCAAGGAGGAGGTACCATTGTGCAGCGAAAGGTTCTCTTACGTAGCTATGCGCAGATGAACTTTCAACTCTTGCCAATTTTTAACGGGAAATGCCAACTTTCGAAACAACGCTGGGGACAAATAAAGTATTATTTTAGAGAATAAAGTGACGCGGGTACACCTTGGTCGAAAATTCGCTTCGCCGTGGGTCGTCATAAGTTTCTATGACAACTCTGAAACGATTTTCAACAACCACTCGAAGTGAAGCACTATTAGACAGTTTAAATTCAGGTTATTTTTTTTCCACGGTTTTAAAGGTGTCATAGAAACTTGTGCGTCGTAGGTGCTGGGCAAAGAGGAGTTGCGGTTCACCTAGGGGCAAATTGGAAGTTCCTTAATGCTGTGAAGGCTGTCCTTATGAACTTACTCCGGCGAAGGAATGCAGATTTCTGATGATACTGTTAAATTCAATACATGCATACATACATATATACTTACAGTCATACAAACACATACATACATAAATACCAATTCCTAGAACATCACTGTAATCAAGTAGGACTGTAGCTAGTGACATGACGAGGGATGCATTTATGCATCGCAGCTGCTAAAACACCAGGTAACTATAGCCCATTAAGACATCCTCCAAAGCGTCTAGAAGCAAAGAACTGTGTCGTATCGCCCTGAGGTCTGATTTGCTTTTATTATGATTTTTGGCTGAGTTAAATAAACATGTTTATTGTATTTTCTGTATACACTCAGAATATTATTGTGTTAAGGTTTCTTGTCGGCTGAAAACAAACACATTTATTAAATCCACTCCGGCAGTCAAACCGAACAGCTACGTAGTTGGTTGAAACTGAGCGCTAAACGGACCATCAAACAGACCGTACCGTCGACCAGCTAGCCATTGAGACGATCAGTGAAGATTGAAGAAGAGAATCGATTAATTAAAACGGATTTACCAAAAATCGGCTTATCGGCTTGCCGCCGCCGTAGCCGGCCACGGCTCGTCACCGATTTGGGGTGACGGATGACGACTGTCGACTGACTATGGCGAAAGCTACGACGACGACGACGACGACGCTGAAGACGCAGAAGAAGGACGACGTTGATGGACGCGCAGCGATTTGGCCAATTTGGGAAAGATACACTTTTTACCGTGC